AGGGAGGGAAGGAGGGAGGGAGAGAGGCAGGGAGGGAGGGGGGGAGGATATAATAATATATCTGGGCCTCATCCCTGGAGCTCCAGTCCCATGCTTTGGCCCTCAGCTGGGGTGCTGGGTGACAGTGATCAGAGCACACTTGAGTTGGGAGCCATGAGGAAGGGCGGAGAGAGGACTGGCTGGATGCCAGGATCCCATAAAGTCCCACATCGCAGAAACACACACTAGTAACCCTGCCTTTAACACACCGACCTCTGGGGTCACTCCTCCAAGGCAGAGCAATGGTGTCTGTCCTGGCTGCGAGCCAAAATCCTCTGGCAAGTGCTTTGAAGACTCCAGGGCATGCACCGTGGGCCCAGAGTGCAGGAGGGGGCTGCCCTGCGGAGGCCCTAGGCTCTGGGCTCTTTCTGAGAATGTGGTGAGTCCACTGTGAGCACAGGCTCGGTGGCGAGAATCAGCCCAGCTAGACAGACTTTTGCATGATAGGGAGATGTCTGACATGTGCAAACTAGCCTCTACCATGCAGAGAAATGATTTCAGAGCATTTTTCCTTTCGTTCTTTCTCTTTCCTCCCTTCCTCCCTCCCTCCCTCCCTCCCTCCCTCCCTCCCTTCCTTCCTTCCTCCCTTTATTTTCTGAGACTGTATCTCTTTGTGTAGTCCTGGCTGTCTTGGAACTCGCTCTGCAGACCAGGCTGGCCTTGAACTCCCAGAAATCTGCCTGCTTCTGCCTCCTGAGCGCTGGGATCAACGGTTATGTGCCACCACCACCTGGCTCAGAGCACTTTTCAAAAGGCAAGTTTGAGAGCCCCAGGAAAACTAGACATAAAAGAGCATCCAGACTCCACGGCAATGCACACAGCTCCCCCATAGTTGCCAGTGCATTCCAGGTGCACCTGCATCTGAGCCGATACCGCGACCTGGCTGCTCACTGACAGCGCTCAGGGCCCCCGCTTGGCCCTTCACATTCAGCAGCTTTTGACAAGTGTATGATGACAGTTATCCACCCCTGCAGTATCCTAAGAATACTGCTAAGAGCTACTCACAGAGTGCAGCACAGTCGGGCAGGAAGCTGAACAGCCAATCCAAGAACAAGACTGTAAGAAGCAGGGACTAGCCACCTCCTAACCTGCCTGATAGCCTCGGCTTGCGGCCCATGGCCTGCTAACCTGCATGCAAAATGCCACTGTTGGCCAGAACAGCATTTTCTCAGTGGCCTTTTATAAAGGCAGAAGCAGAAACTGGGGCAGGGGCTCAGCTGGTAGAACACTATGTCTACATTAGCAAAGCCCCAGCCCTTCACAAAACAGGGGGTAGTAGATGCTCTTTAAGCCAGAACTTGGGAGACAGGCAAGAAGTTCAGGAGTTCAAAGCCATCTTCAACTACATGGTGAATTCAAAACTAACTGGGGCTCACTGGAGACCCTGTCTCAAAGAAAAAGATAAAGGCAAGTATTGCCAGCCTTGATGACTTGGGTTGAATCCCCAGGGCTCACATGGTGAAAGAAAAACCAACTCCTACAAGTTGTCTTCTGTCTTACATGCATGCGCCATGGTGCACCCACACACAAAGACAAGGAGAATGCAATTTAAGACAGCAGAAGCAGCCAGGCATGGTGGCGCACGCCTTCAATCCCAGCACTAGGAAGGCAGAGGCAAGTGAATCTCTGTGAGTTTGAGACCAGGCTGGCCTACAAGGCAAGTTCCAGAACAGCCAAGGCTTCACAGGGAAACCCTGCCTCAAAAAAACCAAAACAAACAAACAAAACAGAATGCAGGGGCCCCCGGTACCCATGTACCTACTTCCCACAGGAACACCTTTTCTTTGCTTTTGGAACACTGACTCCAGAAAATCTTTTAAAATAGTCTCTTCACAGGAGTTCTGTCTCTCAGAACTATGATACAACTAAACGATCAACTACCAGGTCTTCAAAAACGGCCACTGTTTGGGAAAATGACAACCCCAACATCCTCCTTCCAAAGAGGGGAGCCCTGTGATCTGCCCATGCTCACTGACTCCTTTAGTGCTTTCCCTGGATCTCGGGTGGCTTCAGTCCCAATGGTATCCTCTTGCAACGTTAGCCCTGACCACCGCTGCACCCCAACACACAAAGCACATCTCACTGCCCGAAACAAATTCCAGGGAGTACTTGGCTTCATTGATTTGACTCTGGGTACCCGTGTAAAGGTGTGCGTGCCCAGCTGAGGGTGTGGGTGACTATAGAGCAGGAGGAGGACAACGCAGAAGCAAGTTTACTTGGACTTTTCTCTTTCTACAATACATTTTGCTTGTAAACGTATTCTGTCATCACTCTGCCCCACCCCAATCTAATATGATTTGAGGTGCCTCACATTTATAATTGGGTCCCAACCTCTGACTCCTTGCAACTCTGTCCTTCTAGATGGCTCCTCATCCTGACATGTCTGGCATGCACCTACCGGCATCTCATGCACCGTGGGTGCTCTGCTCCCATAGGTTTGGTTACTGGTCCTGTACATAGAGACAGCCTCGTTGGTCCTGTAGAAGAGAGATACACTCTGTTTCCCACTCGGTCTAAGCCAGCCAAGTCATAACCTGGAAGAATGTGACTGATGGAGCTTTTTGGTGATGTCCCCAGATGGCAATACCATGCCAACAGGGCTCCCGCTGTGCCCACGCTTTCCCAGCATGCCTGCCTCCGTGGCCTCCTCTGCTGGCCATGGCGGGTGATCCTTCCGAGGTAAACCCTACAGAGCACCCAGCCAGCAGCGAATGCTGGAGGAAGGGGCCTTGGTGGAACCCTGGCACAGATGGCCACTGCCAGGTAAGTAGCTACTTGGGGAACAGCATCTCAGCTCCGACCCTGTCACCCAGCTGTCCCTCCACTTCTGAGCCCCAGCCCTTACAGAGGCCAAGCTTCTGTCAGGTGGATCGGAGGAAGGAAATCTGGGTTGTGAAGCTGTGGTCTGTGTGTGATACAGAGGCTGTTGGCGGGACAGCACTCTGCTTCTGTCCTCTTGCTTGTGGGGAGGGGTTGGTAGTGTGCCTACACATGCTTCACAGAAGTCAAGAAGGCCTCCATCATTTACAAGGGAACCACACTGCCCTGTGAGGTGTACAACTTTAAGGGAAGTCTCAAAAGCGAAGAGATACCCCACCTCCGACACACACGCACACGCACACGCTCGCGTACACACAAAACCTTACGAGCACACGCACTCACTCTCATGGTTGCTCAGACAGCAGGTCCGAGACCAGACACAAGGCACACACGCGGTCCACCTCTGGCTTCTTCTGACCTCAGCAGCCAGGCACTTTGGAGCTTGCACACACCCGCGGCACCTCCTGGAGGAGGCGACCTCAAGTTTTCCTCACCTGTAGCCACGAAACCACCCCGGGTTGTTGAACCTGACTGGGAGCTGCTCGCTCACGCTGTAGTAGTCGCTCGTCTTCTCCGGGGCGGGCTTAGCCTTGGGCTCCACCGGCTCTGCGCGCTCTTGGGGGTTTTCTTCAGACATTTTACCTCCACAGAAAAGTAGCCCCGGACTAGTAGTCAAGGCTGCGGCTGCTGCGGCAGGGCGTCTGGTTGCTAGGCAACAGTGTCGCCTAACCGGGAGGAGGGGCGGTTCTTTGTAGGCTGGAGCTAGAGGCCAAGTCTAGAATCTTCCAGGGGGCGAATAACAAAGGGGACAGTGGGGAGTTCTAAGCTAGGACTGTTGCGCTAAGGAATCCCAAGCTTTCAGACTGCAGCCTCTCTGGGAGTTGCGCTGGCCTTTTTCTGGGACTGTTGGGAACATCCTGGTATCATCCCAAAGACAGTAGGAATAAGGTCCTAGGCAAATGAAACCTTAGGACCTGGGACTTAACTAGCAAATGCACAGGAATTAGGTGCTTCTACTCTCTACCCGAGCAAGCACTCACTGGTCTGCAGTTTACTATTCTTGCCAGGACTTCTCCTTCTCCTTAGCCTCTGTCACCCCATGCTCCCCACAACCCAGCCTAAATTTAGACCCGAGATGTTGCTAAATTTGGGAAATCCTCCCAGGCCAAATACTACTGAAATATAAAAAATCATCTTCGTGAGAGGTACATGTGTTAATGACTTTCTAGTGCAGTGCCAGGAAGCAGGTCTGTGAGTTCGAGGCCAGCCAAGGGTACATAGGGAGACCCTGTCTCAATAATAATAATAATAATTTAAAACAAACAATAAAAGTCCCTCGGGGCATAGTGTGGTGGTGAACACCAATAATTCCAGCACTTGGAGACAGAGACACTCTGTGAGTGCCAGGCTAGTCAGGGAAACTTTGGTTGGTTGTTGTCTTCATTCTTTAAAGTAGTTTGGGGCTGGATAGATGGCTCAGCGGTTAAGGGCATTTATTGCTCTTGCAGGGAACCTGGGTTCAACTCCCAGCACCTACGAGGTGACTCACAAACATCCTTAACTCCAGTTTCTGGGGAATCAGACACCTTCTTACAATCTCCACCGGCACCGGGCACTCACAGGTGCATATATATACATGTAGGCAAAATACTCATACACAAAATAAACACACCTAAAACAAATTTTAAGGAAAAAAATAAAGCAATTAAAAACCAACCAATAAGACAGGCGGTGGTGGTGCAAGCCTTTAATCACAGCACTCAGGAGCCAGCCGGAGGTGGATCTCTGTGAGTTCAAGCTCAGCTGTTCAAGCCCAGCCTGGTCTACAGAGAGCTCCAGGACAGCCAAGGCTTCTTCACAGAGAAACCCTGTCTCAGAAAAAAAAACAAACAATAAAAACCATTTTGAACTAGAGGGTCGCCTCCTTCTAACCGGTTCTGAGAGGACGCTGTAATTTTACCGAGTGGAACGAGCTGTAGATGAGAACCCGCTCATCCTGGTTCAGTGCCTCCCACCTCCCAGATCCGCACAAATCGCCAGCCACCGCAGAGGCTCTCCCCGGCGGAATCCCTGCCACTGGGTCGTGCACAGCGGGAGCCGGCGGCGGGCCTCCGGGCCTCCAGGGGGCGCTGCGGCCCCGCGCGCTCGGCGGCGGAGGCGCTCTGTCCGGCAGGAAGCGTCTCTGCGGCATCTCCGTCCACGCGCCAGCCATGGCGCCCGCTCCGGCCGTCTTGACCCGGCTGCTGTGTGCAGGTAAGCGCGGAGCGCCCCACCCCCTCCGAGACGGGAGGGACCCTGGGATCCGAGAGAGGAGGACAGGGACGTGGGCAGAGCGCGACCCCACCGGCTCTCTCCCCGCAGGTGTGTGGCGCTGGCCAGCTTTCCTGCAGAAGGCGACCCCGGGCCCGGCGAGGCTGAATGCTAGGATGGTGACAAGAGCCCAAGTCCCCGTGGTCAGCGAACTCCAGGATGGCGACGGTAAAGGCCAGCGGCTGGAGCCAGTCCGAAGCGCAGAATCGTGGAGGGGTTGTCATTGCGGGTTCCCCGAAAGAACCCTGTGCTAATCTCACTAAGTGGGGTGGGAGGGAGAATGCTCCCTCCCCCGCCGTGTCCTAGTGGCTCCCGAGACCAGTGAAGACCAGTTTGGAACCTGTGCACCCTCCTGGTCTGGCGGGCCATTTGAGGCCCCAGAAGTTGAAGGGGCCCTTGTTTCTTTCTCTATGGAGACTAAGGAGAGGAGTGGCCAGGTTTTCCCACACACACCCAGTCCACCTCAGACCTTGGCTCTAGCCCTTCGGCGCTGTAAAAATGCACCCCTTGTCTTCCAGATTTTTTTTTTTTTTTTTTGGTTTTTCGAGACAGGGTTTCTCTGTATTGTTTTGGAGGCTGTCCTGGAACTCTCTCTGTAGACCAGGCTGGCCTCGAACTCACAGAGATCCGCCTGCCTCTGTCTCCCGAGTGCTGGGATTAAAGGCGTGCGCCACCAACGCCCGGCTGCCAGATCTTTCCTAACATTTCTCCTCGGCCTTGAGGCTCCCCCACTCCCGGGAGACTCGTGAGCCTTTGGTTGGTGGTGGTGTGACACTGCGTCTTCTCTTCTTCCCTTCTCAGATCTCCAGAGCAGGATCCTAGATGTGCCGCTGCAGCATTCGGACTTCTTCAATGTCAAGGAACTGTTTTCTGTGAAGAGCCTCTTCGAGGCCCGAGTACACCTGGGCCATAAAGCCGGTTGCCGGCACAGGTAGCTGGCACAGGCAGTGTGGGCGGAGCGGTGGGGTCAGGTCAGAGTTGGAAGTGGGGGCTGATGGGACCGTTAGCAGCAAGTACTGATGCTGTTCATAAACGTGGTGAAAACAGTCATTACAGGCTGGGGAAGGGTAGCTCTGTGAACACTGTTCCATTCTGCTTGGGTTTTTTTTTTTTTTTTTTTGGCAGGTTTATGGAACCATACATCTTTGGTAACCGCCTGGGCCAAGATATCATCGACCTGGAGCAGACAGCCCAGCATCTGCAGCTGGCCTTGAACTTCACGGCCCACGTGGCCTACCGCAAGGGCATCATCCTGTTTGTCAGCAGGAACCGGCAGTTCTCTCACTTGATTGAGAGTACAGCCCGGGACTGCGGAGAGTATGCCCACACCCGCTACTTCAAGGGTGGTTTGCTGACTAACGCACAGCTCCTCTTTGGGCCCACGGTCCGCCTGCCAGACCTCATCATCTTCCTGCACACACTCAACAATGTCTTTGAACCCCATGTGGCTGTGAGGGATGCTGCCAAGATGAACATCCCCACAGTGGGCATTGTGGACACCAACTGCAACCCATGCCTCATCACTTACCCTATCCCCGGCAACGATGACTCACCCCAAGCCATCCATCTCTTCTGCAAGCTCTTCCGGACAGCCATCAACCGGGCCAAGGAGAAGAGGAGGCAGATGGAGGCGTTGCATCGGCTGCAGAGTTCCCGGGGGTCTGAGGGCAGTGGGACATCTTCTGCGCCTGATAAAAGCCAGTGCCCGTGACAGGAGCACCTGCTCCTACGCTAGATAGCCAAGCCTGCTCTGAGCAGGAAGCTCCTTGTCCTATATGCCCAAGAGCTGGCCACCCCAGAGTCTGATCGTCCTGAATTAAACCTTGTCTGCCTCTTTGTGGGGAACAAACCCAAGTAAAGTGCATAGCCACGTGTCCTCTGGCATCCATTAAGACATAGCTAGTTAATTCTCTGAAAGAAATTCTAAGCAAGACAATACTGATGTCCCTCGGGGCTCCCAATAGTTGCCTCTACACCTAAAACCAGACTTAAAGGCTAAGCAGGCGCCTAGAGGGGTAGAAAGTATAGTCCCTGAGGAGGTGCACTATACTACTAAATATGTGTCAGAATGGATTTTAAGGGTGTGGTATAATGGTGGAAGCATAAAACTGAATCAGGCTGAGTTTATTGATAATGGGCCCTCTGAGTGGAGATCTAGGTTTAATATGGAAACCTGCACAGTTTTAAAAGGTGTCAAAAGTTTGCTTGAAAAGTTGACTGAAGCACTTGTCCAAAGGTGACTTCCTGTTGGGACTACAAAGGTCCTTGTGTCCACAGACCTTGAGTGCCTGTTTTCTACGCAGAAGGCTTGTGGTGGATAGTGTTGATGACCTGATGACCTTGCTTTCTGTAGAGCCAGACCAGACACAAACCCCAGAATGCTTATCCCAGACTCTCCCTCCCTAGACCTTTATTTCTAGCTTTTGGTTTGCTTTGGTGGTTTTTTTCAAGACAGTTTCTCTGTGTAGGCCAGCTGGCCTCAAACTCATAAAGATCCACCTGCCTCTCATGGAATTAAAGGCATGTGCCACCACTGCTCAGTTACCTTTGGTTATCAGTCAATAAAACCCATCCTTAGGTGAGATGTCAGATACTTTATAGCCTGCTGACCTCTATGATGTCTGGATCAGAGACCACTCCAGATCCTCGGCCCTTAAACTATAGAACCCATATTCATGGTCACATGTACTTTGAGCTGAATTTCAGTGTAGTTATGCCTCCTTGTGCATCAGGGATTACGTTACACCAGAAACCCCTTTTCCAAGATTGTACTGTGTTTAAATATGCTAAACTGCCTCGTGTCAGACCCTAGAACTTTGAACCAGCACCAACTAAGTTGGGCTGAACTGAGTTTTCCTTCTTTCAAGGTTTGTTGCCCTGCAGGCCATGACCCCAAACAGCATACTGAAAAGAAGTTGGAGGTGCCTGATAGCCTTGGTTTAGTGTTGGTGAAGGGACTTTAAGGTTCAGGGAAATTGCAGTGCTAGAAATGTGTATGCTGGGTGAAACCTAATCCTCCACACTGAGAAGGCCCAGTAGACATGCCCTTCACTAACTGAGTTCAAGCCCAGCCTGTTCTACAAAGTTCCAGGACAGCCAAGGCTACACAGAGAAACCCTGTCTTGAAAAAACAAAAACAGCCAAGTGGTGGTGACACATACCTTTAATCCCAGCGCTCAGAGGCAGGCCGATCTCTGAGTTCCAGGCTGGCTCCATAGCTACTGAGAAAAACGGGAAAAGAAAAGAACCCAGTGAGTTTAATTGAGCCCGGAAGTAGCATGATCCAGATGGCAGTACCTAATCACCAAAGACCAGGTGAGGGTAGTTATGGAAATGAGCAACACAGACAAAACAATGACTGGCCATGATGGGTTTTATGGTGGCATGATTTGTATGGATCTCTGGGACTAGCTAATCAATACTGGTGCTTTCAAACATTAAATAGATAAACCTACTGAATTTCTGTTTGACCTGCATAATTGAAAAAACTCTCAAATGAAAGAAAAGCTACATTGGATCATGGCAAAAGGGATTCCTGGCCCATGAAGCAATTTCTAAATTTGAGTCAGTTTGGTGAACCAGAATGAAGGGATGGCCAGGTTCCCTGGAGGAAGGACCTTGATAAACTAAACGTTTTACTGTTAGCCTTTCCCCACCCCCCATTCCTTCCCCAGAGGGTACTGCAACTTTTGATAACACTGGGGGGGGGGGGGGAGGAAACAATCAGACTTTCCAGGGTCTTTTGGATACTGGCTCTGAACTGACACTGATTCCAGGAGATCCCAAGAAACACTGGCCCTCCAGTTAAAGTAGGAGCTTATGAAGGTCAGGTGATTAATGGAGTTTTGGCTGAAGTCCCATGCATAGGACCAATGGATCCCTAAACTCATCCTGTAGTTGCTCCAGTCCCAGAATGTATAACTGGAGTAGATACACTTAGAAGTTGCTCTCTGACCTATGGAATGAAGGCTGTTATGGTTGGAAAGGCTAAATGGAAGCCCTTAGGGTTGCCCTTTGCCAAGGAAAATAGTGAATCAAAAACAATGTCGCATCCCTGGAGGAATTGCAGAAATTAGTGCCACCATCAAGGACTTGAAAGCTGCAGGGGTGGTGGTTTCCACCACATCTTCCTTCGACTCTGACTAATGCAGAGGACAGATGGAGCGTGAGGAATGGCAGTTAACTATTGAAAACTCAATCCAATAACTAATTTCAGTTGCTGTACCAGGTGTGCTGTCCTTACTAGAGCAGATGAACATATCTCACACAGTATGCAGCTATTGATCCAGCAAATGCCATTTTCTCAGTACCTGACCATAGGACCACCAGAAGCTATTTGCTTTCAGTTAGCAAGGCCAGCAATGAATCTTTACAGTTTTACCTTAAGGAGATATTAATTCTCCAGCCCTCTGTCATAACTTAGTTAGAAGGGATTTTTTTTTTCGTTGTTTTGTTTTTTGAGACAGGGTTTCTTTGTATAGCCCTGACTATTCTGGCACTAGCTCTGTAGGCCAGACTGACCTTGAACTCACAGAGATCTGCCTGCTTCTCCCTCCTGAGTGCTGGGATTAAAGGCGAGGGTCACCTGTACCCAACCTAAAAAGGATCTTGATCACTCATCTGCTCTACAAAACATCACATTGGTCCACTATGTGGATGACTTTATGCTGATTGGGCCAAGCAAGCCAGAGGTAGCAACCACTTTGGACTCATTGGTAATGCATGAGCACATCCGAGGACAGGAAATAAACTCAACCAAAATTCAAGGGCCTACCTCTGTGACATTCTTAGAGGAGTCCAGTGGGTGGGGCACATGCAGAGATATTCCTTCTAAAGTAAAGGATATGTTATTGCACCTGGCCCCTCACATCACCCAGAAAGAAGCGCAATGTTTAGTATGACTATTTGGATTCTGGAGACAACACATCCTTGTTCTGGCCCATGTACCAAGTGACTTGGGGAAGCTGCTAGCTTTGTGTAGGACCTGGAGCCAGGGAAGACTCTTCAACAGGTCCAGGCTGCTGTGCAAGCTGCTCTATCACTTAAACCATATGATCCAGCAGGCCTGATGGTAATTGAGGTGTCAGTGGAAATAGGAATGCTGTTTGAAGCCTTTGGCAGACCCTTATAGGTGAATCACAAAAGACATCCGGATTTTGTTTTTTTTTTTTAAAGATTTATTTATTATGAATACAACATCCTGCCTCCATGTGTGTCTGCACTCCAGAAGAGGGCACCAGATCTCATTACAGATGGTTGTGAGCCACCATGTGGTTGCTGGGAATTGAACTCAGGACCTCTGGAAGAGCAAGCAGTGCTCTTAACCTCTGAGCCATCTCTCCAGCCCGACATCCGGATTTTGAAGCATGGCTCTACCATCATCTGCCCACACCTATTCTTCCTTTGAAAGGTGACCCTTTTGCCTGAGTGGAGCCTAGCTGTAACAACTTGTACCAGAACCAGAACCTGAGAGGAACTGTAATATACTTTCACTGGGGGAAACTTTACCCTAGAGGAGCAGAGTTGTTTCACTACAGGGGACCTAAGAAGAGCTGTAACTCTTACTGAGGAAACTTACCCCCAGATGAGCCAAGCTGTAACACTTTGCCAGACCTGAGTAGAGCTGTAACAATTTCTCTGGGAAACCTTCCACAGCGAAACAAAATTGTTACACTTGCATTGGGGAACCTTTTCTGGAACAAAGCTGTAAGCTGCTATGCTTACAGTGATTTTGTGGTATTCCTTGGCTCCTGCTTCCAGGATATCTTTCTATCTGAGCTGCAACACTTTACAGTTATCATATTTAAGTTTTGAGATACAAAAGAAGGGATATTGCTACCTATTCTAAGTTTTTGTTGTTTTCTTTCTTTTCTTTTTTTTTTTTTTTTCTGAGACAGGGTTTCTCTGTATTGTCTTGGAGGCTGTCCTGGAACTCGCTTTGCAGTCCAGGCTGGCCTCGAACTCACAGAGATCCACCTGCCTCTGCCTCCCGAGTGCTGGGATTAAAGGCGTGTGCCACCAACGCCCGGCTTCTTTTCTGTCTTTTTGAGACAGGGTTTCTCTGTGTGGTCCTGACTGTCCTGGAACTCATGATATAGACCAGGCTGGCATCAAGCTCACAAGAGATTCTGAGCACAACATAAAACACAAACACATATACACAGATGAAACTTTCCAAACAACCAGTGTAAGGATTCAGGCATTATTCTGACCCTGCCCTCTGACAACTGGCATTCAGGCAGATACTTAGCACAAAGGGCCCTGTGTTGTGTGGCTACATCACGTGTTACAAGGCTGTGTAAGGACTCTATGCATGTGCAAGCTTTCCCTTTTAAGAGAGCGCCTCCTACCTGTTCACCCCTTCTTCCCCTTCTTTCCCCTACTCCTGCCCCCTTCTTCCTCTTCCCCTTCCCCTTTCATCTCTGTTCCTGGTTGATCAACACCTACCCCCCATCCACCCAATAAACTCCAAGTGGGTTTTGTTGAGTTCTGTGGTTCATACTTCATCGCCGGCAGCCTCAGGAAAACAACTAACAGGAGGTCAGGCAACATCTTGCTTTTGTCCTGGATGGGAGTGGAAGGGTTTTGTAAAAGTAAGATGATGAGTGAAGGATTATGTTTGACTAGAGGCTTTTTTACCTTAGACAGGAAGTGTCTAATCCAGTCACTTTAGGATGAAATTCTTTCCTTCGTAGGGATGGCTGGCTTCTTATACTCTTGGTTTCCTTCTTCCTCTCCTCTTGACCACCCCTTATATATATGAGACTTATCTTCCAGACTTAATTTGTCCCTTCTCTATGTTACAGGAAAGAGGGATATGCCCTCGGGGTTCTGGGTAACCAACAGGGACCTTCCTTTGGTCAGTTGCATACTTATAGAAAAAATTAGACCATACTATCCAAGGATGGGAACCTTGCCTGTGTGCTATGACCACAGCTGAACTTCTCTCTCTCTCTCTCTCTGTTTTTAAAGATTTATTTCTTTTTATTTTATGTGCATTGGTGTTTTGGCCTGCGTATATATCTCTGTGAGGGTGCCAGATTCCCTGGAACTGGAGTTACAAATAGTCTTGTGAGCCACCATATGGGTGCTGGGAAATGAACTCAGGACATCTGGAAGAGCAGTCAGCGCTCTTAATCACTGAGTCATCTCTTCTGCCCCACAGCTGAACAACTTCTATTCAAATAAAAAATTTAACCTTTGGGTCACCCACTACTGTCTTCTCTTTTCACTGCCCATCCCATCTCCTAACATACGAGAATCTCCAAACACTGCTCTCTTCCCGAGTTTTCCCTCTTTAGGCAGCACTGGTAGAGGACGCCTCCCTTACTTTTCAGCCATGCCCACGTCTCAACATTCCTTTCTTTTTTTGAGTTTGTGCTTTTCAAGACAGGGTTTCTCTGTGTAGCCTTGGCTGTTCTGGAACTCACTCTGTAGACCACACTGTCCTCAAACTCACAGAGATCCGCCTGCCTCTGCCTCCCAAGTGCTGGGACTAAATGTCTTAAACTGACTCAAGTTGCTGCTTCTTATGGTGTGTATGGAGCATTTGTTTCTGCTGGCTTCTGCTAGTTGCTTCCAAGTTCTAGAGTTCATCTCTTCAGCCACTTCTTCTCTCCACCTGCTCTCCACCTGCTCTAAACATCCATCTTTCCTTGCCTACTAGGTAGGTAAATATCCTCTCTCTGACAATTGGAGCCTGCTACAGTCTCCAGGGCCCCACCACGTGGGCAACTCTCTAGTTACCGAGACGCTTGTGCCTCTCCCTCCCCCTTGGAGCTGCCTGCTAAGTCCAGCAGCTTCCTTGAGCTTTTCCTTGCCTCTGCAACCTTGTCCTTCTTGTCTCTCTGCTCTGTCCTAGAAGTTTCACAGCTTTTCTATGCCCTCCTGGGCTTTTCTCCTCTCTTAATTCCCACTTGGAGCTTCTAAAACTCCCTTTGGTGAAGTTGGGTTTTGCAACCCTTCCTTCCTCTCTTCCTCCATAGACTCAGATTTTATTTAACTCTGTTACTATAAGTAGCTTGGCCTCAGTATAATTCAATGACCAAACCTGGCATGCTCAATTTTCACTGGTGGCAACTTCTGCCACCACACAAACCAACTTGCTCTCTCCTCCTCTATTTCTTCCTGTCTACACCTGTCTGGAGTAGTTCTTACATGTGGATTTTTATCATTCAAGAGAGGCCCTCCCCCTCTAATCAACAGCCTGTCTAATAGGGTTGGAAAATTGCTCTATAGCAGTCTTTCAAAGGCTAACCCAGGGAGGCTGGAAAGATGGTTCAGCAGTTAAGACCACTGGCTGGCTGGCCATTGGTGGTGCATGCCTTTAATCCCAGCACTCGGGAGGCAGAGGCAGGCAGATCTCTGTGAGTTCTAGACCAGCCTGGACTACCAAGTGAGTTCCAGGACAGCCTCCAAAGCCACAGAGAAACCCTGTCTCGAAAAACCAAAAAAAAAAAAAAAGACCACTGGCTGTTCTTCCAGGGGACCTGGGCTCACTTCCCAGCACCCACATGATAGCTAACAACTGTAACTCCATTTCCAGGGTCTGACATACGGACAGGCAAAACACCAAACAGATTTTTTAAAAAGACTGATCCAATTCTCTATAACTCCCTTATTCACCTTTTCTTCACCTGGGTTTACCCACATTCCTATTTTCTCTATTTTTGTGATAGTTCCTGTCCTGAGAACCAAAATCATAAAAAACAGGGTTTATGAAAGATAGGATTTAAAAAAAACAGTGCCTGTTTAATAAGGTACTAAAACTGCACTTCCATGTACTCATATACAAGAATGCACCTTGTACTGGTAGGCAAACTTTGTAACGTAAAAGTCACCTAGGTGGCCAGGCAGTGGTGGCACATGCCTTTAATTCCATCACTCAGGAGGCAGAGGCAGGTGGATCTCTGTGAGTTTGAGGCCAGCCTGGTCTGCAAAGCAAGTTCCAGGACAGTCAGGACTGTCACACACAGAAACTCTATTTTGAAAAAAAAAAAAAAGTCACCTAGGCGGTACTGGTTTTAAAAGGATGTGAAGGGCCATGGGGGGAAAGTGAGACTTGGCACCGTGTGGCAGGACTGAGGTTCCTAAAGAGAGGCTGCTGGTGGAAACCAGCCCGAGCAGTGAGGGTCTAAGAAAATGTATAAAGGTCTGGGGATGGCCGGGCATTGGTGGCACACACCTTTAATCCCAGCACTCGGGAGGCAGAGGCAGGCGGATCTCTGTGAGTTCGAGACCAGCCTGGACTACCAAGCAAGTTCCAGGACAGCCTCCAAAGCCACAGAGAAACCCTGTCTCAAAAAAACCAAAAAAAAAAAAAAAAAAAAAAAAAAAAAAGGTCTGGGACAACTTAAGAAAGTTCTGAAGGTATAAGAAAGTGATTTAAGGTAACGAAAAATGTTCTGGATTTTCTCCCCCTCTATGCTATTGCTGTATTAATGTCTCAAAGGTTCAAGAAACCTATACTCAATGGTTCAACCAGACCATTCCCGTGGGGGGGTCTTGAGATTGCTTACTAGCAGTTTGCCAAAAGGAGACACTTGTCCCTTTAACACCTGAATCGACTTCCTAAACACCTTTCCCCTTGCTTACTTTCTCTAAGATCAAACCAGAAATTACTGTGGACATTGGCCAGAGACTTCTGGAGGCTGCCCTTATTGGTTCTGTAGGACACACGCTGCATATTCAGGAAGTTGGTCTTTTTTTCTGCAGAATGTGGGATCTTTCATAACCTAATTAAGGACCCATGGCAGCCCAGATGGGAGACAGGGGTCATTGGTAAACTTTACTATAGCATTTATCATAGCTATACCATCAAAATACCAAGGGTACACAGCCCATTCTCTCAATCCCTAGGTATAGACACGGTAGAAGTGGTCCAACATTCATCAAATGTTCGCACCTCCCTGACATCTTCCCTCTTGGACGACACTGATCCTACCTCTGTTCTCATGGTAACTCCATCTCTTGTTTTAGAGCTTAACCTCCACATAGCAGCTACCAAATAACACCCTGCCTGCCCACTTTGGAGAACGCTGGTAGTGTGTCCCTCCGGGGTCCAACTCACAAACACCATTCCTGACCTCACCTATTGAACTATTAGACTCTCTCCCTCGCTGCTCATTAACTGCTCTGAGCTGGAGGGCTGTGGCAGAGTTGCCAGCGCTTCAAGCTGCTTTGTGACCCTGAGCAAATCTATAACCTCTTTCGAATCCGTTCTTCGTGTGCATGGTTTCTCCCCTGCTATCCTCCCTGATAGCAGAGTCCTCTGCATCCATCGTGCTTGGCTGGCGTTGTTCTTTTGCACCAACGTTAGGATAAAGCTGAAAGGGGATCCTGCGTGCCGGATTCCATGGTAGGTGAGGGTGACCAGGGCAGGGAACAAACATGCCAGGCAGACAGAGCTTGAGTGAGAAGTTTTATTAGAAAGGGGAGGGAGGGGAAAGGAAAGAGAAAAGAGGTACAGAGACACAGAGGGAGGACAAAGGAGACGAGGAAGACAGGAGCAGAAGGAGGAGAGCCCAGACATCAGAAAGAGCAGTAAGAATAGTAAGAGAGCATGAGTGGGCGGGGATCTTTGTTTTAAAAGATCCTTTACACCTGCTTGCTGACTAGTACTCATGGAACCCTGGACTGACCAGAGTACTGCCTGAGTGCATTCTGTCAAGTGACAGGGACAGGCCAGCATAATGCCTGAATCCTTACAGCTGATCAGACATGTCAGTGAGTCCTTCCTGGGCCTCTGGGGTGGACAAGGGCGGCCTTTCCTGGAACCGATATGCGAAAGAAGGAAGCATGCCCACTCAACCAGGCTGAGGAAGAGACGGCCTCTGGGAGACTTTGAGAGCATGGTCAGGTTAAGAGCCTCTGGTTCTCCCCTTCCTTGGCTACTTGGAAAGAAGTTTTCGCCCAGTATCGTGTCTCACATCTCTGCCTACACGCCACCCAGTATTCTAGGACCTGCTATCCCTGCCTAGGAGCTGGACGGTCTGCATTCTAGGCAGGGATTTAGAAGGCTAGTGAAGACACTGGCGGGGTCCACGCACTCTCTCCTTACAGGAAGTACAAGGCTGAGGGCAGTGGGCGGAGCTCGAGTGTGGCTCATCGGGCAGAGGGGGGTAGTGGGAGGGGCGTGAATGGGTGGGGCTCAAGCTTTGATCCGCCCCAGAGACCAGAAGCCCAACCATGCTCTTTACCGGGTTCCTCCCCGTGTAGGCTCGGTAGCGAGCTACAGGGAGTCGCCCAGTTCCTGTTTTCCGAGTTGGAATAGTTCCTCCCTCCGTCCTAACGCCTGTCAACCCAAAGGGAGTGAGTCTGTACCTCCAAAGACTGTCTCGCTGAGCCCTACTCTGCCCGACCCGGTCCGCGCCACATCCCACAGCAGCCGCTGAGGAGGAAGAGTCCTGGAGCCAGCACAAGTGGGCCAAAGTTCAGGTGCGCGTCTCAACCCCAGTCTGCTGGAATTGAATCCCTTCTTGGACCTGCAGGGTTTGCATCTGGATTCAGGTCGGCGAAGCAGTTTTGTCCAGCTTGAGCTAGATGCTAGTGAGGCGGGAAGTGGAGAGCTGAGTAGGGAAACTCGGGTCCCCGAGAAAGGGTTTGCAGAAACAATGGAGTGTGGGGAACCCTAACCCTCAGGCCTGGGAACTTTCTCCGTTATCAGGTCCGATACACTCTGTGACCCATAGCATCATCACATCTTCCCATAATCTTTGGCAGTGGAGAACCACCAGGCAGGAGATTTTTGAGAGGAAGATGCGGAAGTGCTTTCTGCTGTATCCTACACAGCCCAGACCCCACCTCCCCCAGGTGGCCAGGAATTGTTTTAGGAAAAATTCCAAGGACTGAGGTCACGGGGAATACTGTCCCAGCCTGATCCTAGGTGGCCCTTTACTCTCTTTTGCTGATAATGGGACAGAGCCTACACACCGACCAATGTCTGGGGGAGACATCCTAGCTGCCACTGAGCACTGAGGCATTGTCCCTCAGTGAGCCCGAGGTCAATTGAAGGAGGAAATTCACTGGAGCATTTCTTTGCAGGAGTTTCTGAGACCTCAAGAGAGGCAGGCTCCAAGCCTGCCAGATCTGGGAGGGAAGCGCCTGATTGACCAAGGTCCTAGGGGATCTCTAAAGGTGCCCAGCTTCTGTTCAGCACCCAGTGATGACCTGCCGAAGACTGGCCCTGGGCCTGGCATTCCTGCTTGCTAGCATAAGTCTCTGGGTCCTGTGGTGAGTTCCCTTTCTGAGTTTGCTCCCTGCCTCTGCATGTCCCCCCTAAGCCTCGATGCTCATACAGTTTTCCAGGTCCATCAACCTCTCAAGACTCAGGATCCTCCAGCCCCAGCCAGACTAACTAGTTTTGGCTGTTGTTTTGCCTTGATTTGGCTTTCTAGCCTTTAACCTACCATGTTTTCTGCCTAGACTGTCCTTCAAACCATGTTGATAAGGATCACTGTTCATGCTCCTAAAGTCATCCTGGTGGCCTTGTAGGGAGCTACTGACACTGCGTGTCTCCTTATTGTTTGTGTGTGGGACCTGGCGTCAATGACATAGCCATGCCATAAGTGAATAGCCACATGGAAAAAAAGACAAGTACACACTAGGCCCTGTGCTAGATACAGGCATTGTCCTCTACAGTCAACAACCCTAGATTGACACGGTTTCTTCCCAAACGCCCCATTGGAAGGTCTTTGCTCCTGATAAAGTGCACCAGGTTATCCTCTAAGGCAGAGTAGCATTAATGGGTACTTTCTCTGTCTAGGGGATATGTCGAGGACCTGCTGCTGGTCTCATACGTGCCGTATTACCTCCCCTGCCCAGAGTTGTAAGTATGGGGCTAGAGGACTTGGGGGCAGTGTGTGCTGACCGTGTTTGGAGAGACAGGAAAGCTTTTATGATGGCACTGTCTGAGGGCTTATGGTTCTGAGACGCGCCACGGCTGCCACAGACACACAGTGACCCTGAGATTTCAGCCTTCCAGTATCCTGCTACTCTCATCGGCTTCAGACGTGCTTGCAGAGCCTTGGCTCTTGCTTATTGCGTGCTGTGCCTGTTAGATGGGATGGCAGAGGTACCTTTCCGGGGCTGCTGCATATGAGTGCCTGGTGTCCTGGCACATAGAAGGTGGTCAAGGAACAGCCCTGTTAGGGAGGGGCCTCTTGCTCCATTTTGTCTGGATGCAGGGAACTGAGTGACTTTAGCCTTCCCGCCTTGGTGAAACTGACAGCTAAAAGTGGAAAGATAGGCCTCGTGTTTGATAACAGCTAAAGAAAAATTAAGCATCTGAACTATAGGCTATTTGATAACACACATGTGTCATTTATTTATTTATTGGGTTTTTTGAGACAAGGTTTCTCTGTGTAGCCCTGGATGCTCTGGAACTCATTCTGTAGACCAGGCTGGCCTCTACCTGCATGTGTCTCCTGCGTGCTGGGATTAAAGGCGTGCACCACCACCTGGCATAACACATTTTATTAAAACAAAATATAGTAGTGTTTTAGTCCTTATTCAGATATTTATAACAGGGAACCACAGTTTTGGCTCAGGGTCAAGGAACTGCATGAGTTGAATTTGTTGATGATTTTCCTTCTGGCAAGGTCCCAGAACAGCACAGGGCATTGTATGGTGAAAGGCAGAAAGTATCTGTGTTTATATTTTTTTGGTCTCTTTGTCTTAATCCCTACCTGTCTTAGAACTTTCTAAGTCAACCAGGGTGGCCTTGAATTTACAGAGATCTGGTCTCCCAAGTGATGGAATTAACAAACCTGGCTTTATTATTATGGTTATAATTATAATTATTTATATATTTCTTGTTTCCTTTATAAAGACAGGTTTTCTCTATGTAGTCCTAGCTGTCCTGGAACTCGCTCTGTAGATCAGGCTGGCCTTAAACTCAGAGATCCAGGCTGGAGAGATGGCTCAGCGGTTAAGAACACTGGTTGGTTTTCCAAAGTCCCTGAGTTCAATTCCCAGCAACCACATGATGGCTCACAACCATCTGTAATGAGATCTTGGGTGTCCTCTTCTGGCATGCAGGGATACACACATACAGAACACTGTACACATAATAAATAAATAAATAATTTTTAAAAAACTCAGAGATCCACCTGCCTCTGCCTCCTGAGTGCTGAGATTAAAGGCACACGCCACCACTGCCCGGCCTGTTACTATTTTTTAATGTGTATGGGTGTTCTGCCTACATGTATGTCTATGTACCATGTGCTTGATATCCCCAGAGGCCAGAAGAGGGTGTTATATCTCCTGGAACCGGAGTTGCAGGTGGTTGTGAACCACTGTGTAGATACTGGGAATTGAACCTAGGTCCTCTGGAAGAGCAGCCAGTTGTCTTAACCATTAAGCCATCTCTCCAGTTCCTATACAGGGTCTTATGTAGCTAGAGCGTCTGTCTTAGTCACTGTTCTGTTGGTATGAAAAGACACCATGACCAAGGCAACTCTTAGGAAAGGAAGTATGAAATTGGGGGCTTGCTTACAGTTTCAGAAGTTAGTCCATTATCATAATAGTTGGGAGCTTGGCAGAACACAAGTAGACATGGTGCTAAGAGTTCTACATCCTGATCTGTAGGAAGAGAGATTGGGCCTGGCATGGAATTTTGAAACCTCAAAACCCACCCCTAGTGACACACTTCCTCCAACAAGGGCACACCTATATGATCCAATAGAGAACATTCTTATTCAAACCACCACACTCTCCTACTTAGATTTCTATCTATTCCTGTAATAAGACATCATGACCAGCCATGGTGGTAGCACACACCTTTAATCCCAGCACTCAGGAGGCAGAGGCAGGTGGATTTCTGTGAGTTTGAGGCCAGCCTGGTCTATAAAGCAAGTTCCAGGACAGTCAGAGCTACACAGAGAACCCCTGTCTCAAAAACCAAAACCAAGCCAAACCAAAACAAAGCATCATTACCAAAAAGCAGCTTGGGGAGGAAAGCATTTATTGGCTTACATGTCCCCATCATAGCCCATCACGAAAGGGAAGGCAGGAACCTGGAGTCAGGAACTGAAACAGAAGCCATGGAGAAACTTGTTTATTGGCTTGTTCCTCACAGAGTGCTCAGTCTGCTTGCTTGTTTGTTCTTTCTCTTTCTCCTCCCTCCCTCCCTCCCTCTCTTTCTTTCTTTCTTTCTTTTTTTTTTTTTTTTGAGGCTTTCTCTGTGTAGCCCTGGCTGACCTGGAGCTAGCTGGCCAGGCTGGCTTTGAATTTAGAGATCCCCCTGCCTCTGCCTCCCAAGTGCTGGGATTAAAGGCGTGAGCCACCACCGCTCAGCTTGTTTTCTTAAACTATCCAGGACCATCTGCCCAACGACGGATCAGTCGTTAATCAGGAAAAAGCCCTCCCATAGACTTACCTATAGACCAGTCTGATCGAGGCATTCTGTCAGCTGAGGTTCCTTGTCCCAAGATCATCTAGGTTGTGTCAAGTTGACCAGAAAACCAAGCACGTTGGCACTGACATCTATACATCTGAGGATGACTTTGAACTCCCAATTTTCTTTCCTTTACTTCTGGTTACTGAGATCACAGGCATGTCCCACCATGAGGGCTCATCTTCGCTTTCATTTTATTACCTTTCCACACTTAGAGAAATGAAGTTCTTTTTTGACAAGTGCACACTAGGCTAAGGTCAACCCCCTTGGCTCCCTCCCCCTTAACTACACTCCCAGTTTCAGCTTCTGTGTTCTTGTGTGTCATTCCCCAGGGGAGCCAGAGCATGTCTGGACCTGTAGGCAAAATAAAATCACTCTCAGGCCGCACAGAATGCTGGCTGTTCTGTTCTGGTGCAGCATCCTCTTCCTGATTCCAACCTCTTCAGAACCCCTTTATTTTCTGAGCAGACACATGGTAAACAGAGTTTAAAGAATGCCAATCATGAAGAACACATACTATGTAAGTTAACTCAAGAGTATTTCCCGAGAATCTTTCTGGAATGAGCACTTTGATGCCAGTGAGAATGGAAGAGAGATGCCTCCAAGGGACCAAAGCCAGAACAGCCCCCCGACCCAATTTGTATTCTCAATGTACACCCTGAAACTGCAAGGTTGGGAGGACAAGCAGGCAGGATGTTACAGAAGCAGGTGGCTAAGCACAACACACCATTGTTGGTTGTCTGTCTAGGTCATCCTGCTCCAGGTAGCTTTTTAGATGGCGAGTGAAGTCATGCTCGGCATGTAGGAAGTACAAGCAGGGCTTTAAGTAAAACACTAAATAATTTCATAAATCAGTCTCTGTATCATGAACTCTAATTGGGATTAATAATTAAAACTCAGAGTCAGCTATCAGGGGGTGAAAGCTGAAGGAACTGAGAAGCAAAGCAGCCAGCCATTAAAGAGTTCTTAACCTCGACCGATGCTCAGACCATAGGGCCGATCCTGTCCCAGACTCCCTGAGCTCCTGTCTCCTCTTGTCTTATATTCCTCTCTCTGCCCAGCTACATCCCTTCCTGTCTCCACCTCCTTAGTGCTGGAATTAAAGGCATGCCACTCCAAGTACTGAGATCACCTTTGTGGAGTTCTGTTTCTCTTTTAGACTGGATCAATTTCATGTAGCCTAGAGTGGCCTTGAAAGATCCATCTGCCTGTATCTCCTGAGTGGAGGATTAAAGGTGTGTGCCACCACTGCCTGGCCTCTGTGGCTAGCTAGTGTGGCAGGATTTGCACTCTGATCTTCAGGCAAACCTTATTTGTTAGACCATAAACAAAATGTCACCACAAGTCTCTAATAATTGGGCTTTTCTTTTTTTCTTCTTTAGTTTTTCTGAGACAGGGTTTCTCTTTGTAACATCTCTGGCTGTTCTGAAGCTTACTTTGTAGACCAGACTGGCCTTGAACTCACAGAGATCCACCTGCCACTGTCTCCCAAGTGCTAGGATTAAAGGCATGTGCTACCACCGCCCAGCATAATTTGTCTTTTCTACTTTATTCTACTTCAAGAGGAGGTACCAAATTCATAAAGGCAGAAGCAGCGTGGTGACCGGGCCTCCTTGGGCAGGCCCACAGGGAGCAACTGTTTGATAGATCCAAGTTTAAAGGACAAAAAGAAAACATCCTTGTTTTTGTTTTGTTTGTTTTTTCAAGACAGAGTTTCTCTGTGTAGCTTTGGTGCCTGTCTTAGAACTTGCTCTGTAGACCAGGCTGGCTCCAAACTCACAGATTAAAGGTGTGTGCCACCACTGCCTGGCAAGGAAACATTCTCGGCACAAGCAATAGTGATGGTTTTGCAACCATGCCAGTGAACTGTGCACTAATTGAATAATGGTTGAAATAGGGCCAGTGAGAGGGCTCAGTAAGGCAAGTGCTTTCCTTGCAAGTCTGTCCTCCAGAAAGTGTGAAAACCATGGGTGTGGTGGTGTGTAGTCCCTTATAGTACCCATACCAAGGAGGTGGAGACGGGTAGATCTCTAGGGCTTGCTGCTAGCCATCCTAACCTTTTGGGCAAGTTCCAAGCTAGCAAGAGACCCTGTCTCAAAGAAAAGGTAAGGTGAGCCTCCCTTGAGCCTGCATGCATCATGTCAGATGTGTTTTACTTTTTCCCGAGTGCCTTCATGTTCAAGCCTATATTAAAATGTCCTGAACAAACCCCACTCTTTTCTTTGTCACCAGCAACGTGAAGCTGCCGTTCAGGCGGGAGAAGCCATTCCAGCCCATGACACAGTACGTATACCGTTTCCCCCTGGATTCTGGCCCCAGGAGTGGGGGCTGCCTTCCTTACTCTGGCCCTTCCTGATTACAGGTTGCAGTACCCTCAGCCTAAGCTTCTAGAACACAGGTAGGTGTCAGGGAATGACCTGGTAGTGGCAGGGAGGGGAACCAGAGAGATACAATGTGGCCAGAGGATGGCAGAGGGGCCTTGGGCCCCGGAGAGTCTGGGAGCTCGTCTTTCACTGGCTGTGTGACTTCAGGCAGCTGTCTGCTCTGAGTTTTACCTTTTGAGGAGATCATAATATTCCCTACTTTGTAGGAGGCTGGAACAGTAGACAGTGGTACTGCGGCACATGCCTTGGGTAGGAGCTTGATCCCAGTGGTATTCTGTCACTTTATGGGCGCCCCCTGGCCTGTAGTGGGAGTGCTAGACCCCTCTAGAATAGTGACCTTTTACTACAGTTCCTCATGGCTGTGGTGACTCCGACCATAAGATTATTTTGTTGCTACTTCATAACTGTAATTTTGCTACTGTTAGGAATTATAATGTAAATATCTGATATACAGGATATCTGATATACAAAATCCCACCCCCACCCCAAAGGGGTCACGACCCACAGGCTGAGAACCACTGCTTTAGATGCTGTCCATGCCGACTCTTAGATTTCCCAGCTTTAGCAGGAGATAGCTACTATTATCCCACTTTCACACGGGGAAACTGAGGCCCTGCAACAGGGCCAAGATGCTACCCAGGCTTCTGAACAGGGAGGCTCCCCCGGCCTGAGCCTCCCCCATGCCAGGCCCACAGAGCTGCTGACACTGACTCCCTGGCTGGCACCCATCGTCTCCGAGGGAACCTTCGACCCACAACTTCTGCAGAATATGTACCAGCCGTTGAACCTGACCATTGGAGTCACCGTGTTCGCCGTGGGGAAGTGAGTAGTGGATTAGGCTGTGGTGGGTCTGGGCCTCCTGGAGCCACTGGGGTTTCTAGTCTAGGGAGAGGCCAACCTGGCCAAGTGCTGCACAGTGGCGTGGGAGAGCTTTCTGATGCAAGGCCTCGCCTGCCATGGAGAAGGAGGCACGGCAAGCCTAGGGGAAGAAGAGCAGGGTGTGGGCAAAGACTTCATCCTCCCTCTCTCCTGTCCCACCCTGGCCTTCTCTTTAAGTTTACCTGAAGTACTGGCCAGGTAACAAATGGACCTCAGAGGTCAGGTGACCTCTTGTCTTAGGGATGGAGCCATGTATCCATTGTGCTACATGTCCCCGGCATCCTTCCCTGGATTCTATCCCCTGTTGGCTTCTCAGCCACTTTCATCTTCCTGGATGAAAGAATTTGTGGGTATAAAACGGTCATGTTTCTAAGCAGATCGTTAATGTTAAGATTAAAGGTCATGGGGACACCTAACAACACTGTCTGGCATTAGTAAATGCTTTTGCCTCTAACCCTGATGACTTCAGTTCAATCCCCAGAACCCACTCGTGGTGGAAGGAGTGAGCTGACTCCTGAAAGTTGTTCTCTGACCTCCATAGGCACACCGTGGCATGCACATATACACATAAATAAATACTTTTTTATTTCAAAGAAGCACAGTAGACACTGGGAAAGACAGGTCTGTTAGTAAAGTGCTTTCCATGCAAACACAAAGACCTGTGTTCCATCCCCAGCACCCACATAAAAAAGCACATGCCTATAATCCCAGCGGTACACATGTGTGCACAGACACACACACGTACAGACACACAAGACAATTAAGGATCTGTCTCAAATGGTTGTCACACACTGAGTATCCCTGATTAGAAACACTTGGACCAGAAGTGTCTCACAGTATAGATTTTAGAATTTGTGTAGACTAATAATTACAAATCTTAACCCAAAACTCTGAGTGGGGCTTTCAAATGAGGGGTGTTCAACTTTAACAAGGATTGTGGTGGGAGTTTGACAGATGAGGACCCCCAGGTAAGTCCTGAATGACTTCTTGAGGTGGGGGACTAGGATGTAGACTCCAGCACATATGGAGACCTGGGCAGTGATGGACAGCAGTGGTTGATAGAGTTGTCATCCCCAGGTACACCTGCTTCATTCGGCCTTTCCTGGAGTCAGCTGAAAAGTTCTTTATGCGTGGGTACCAAGTACACTACTACCTCTTTACCCACGACCCCGCAGCCGTTCCCAAAGTCCCCCTGGGTCCCGGTCGCCTTCTCAGCATCATCCCTATCCAGGGTCACTCCCAGTGGGAGGAGATCTCCATGCGTCGGATGGAGACCATCAGCAAACTCATTGCCAAAAGGGCCCACCAAGAGGTGGATTACCTCTTCTGTCTCGATGTGGATATGGTCTTCCGTAACCCATGGGGCCCCGAGACTTTGGGGGATCTAGTGGCTGCCATTCACCCAGGCTATTTTGCTGTATCGCGCCAGCAATTCCCTTATGAACGCAGGCAAGTTTCCGCTGCCTTTGTGGCATACAATGAGGGGGACTTCTATTACGGTGGGGCAGTCTTTGGGGGACGAGTGGCCAGGGTGTATGAGTTTACCAGGGGCTGCCACACGGCCATCCTGGCAGACAAAGCCAATGGCATCATGGCAGCCTGGCAGGAGGAGAGCCACCTGAACCGCCGCTTCATCTGGCACAAACCGTCTACGGTGCTGTCTCCAGAGTACCTCTGGGATGACAGGAAGCCTCAGCCCCCAAGCCTGAAGCTGATCCGATTCTCCACAGTAGATAAAGATACCAGCTGGCTGAGGAGCTGACTGTGAAGCCGAGACCCCGCCCCGCCCTAAAGCCCTGTCAAACCCCACCCATGCCTGGCCCAGCCCTGCCCACCTCAGTCTAATCTGCAGTGTTGGGGCTCAAACCCCGGGCTATGCACGTTGAAGGAAGTGCTCTGCCCCCGAGCCCCGGGCTGCTGCCTTGAATCTGCACTTTAGCGTCCTCATCCCAAGTCCCACGCTGCTCACCCAGCCACGTGCGTTCTTCACTCAGGGTCCCAGAGCTCACTCTGAAGCAGACCAGGCATAGGTCCCTTCTGTCCACCTGTATCCCAGGATGTGCCTCACTCTCAGGGACTAGACGTTTCCTTGGTTACACTGTTTGTGGTAGCCTTCAATAAAGATCAGGGTTTTACCTGCCCAGTGGACTGTTTTGCCAGTCGAGATAGTTCTGGGGGACACAAATAGACTGGATTTCACACATTTCATGTCGGGAAAGGGGTGAGTAATGTCTTTTTTTTTTTTTTTCTGGGAGACTGGGCCAAGGCTGGCTGATGCCACAGACATTGCTCACTCCAGGTCTGGGAGCCTAGGTGACATGGGGTCCTGTGGACAGATGTGCCACGCCTAGAGGACAGCAGTGCTCATCAGCTTTATTGTGCCCTCAGTCCCTGGACATATAGGAGGTGTGCTTGTGGTCTCCTTTGTATTCTTGGCCACTGTGCTTGTGGGAGGCTACTGGTGAGTGTGGGGCTTCAGGGTGGTGATAGGCCAGGTTCAGAGGGTGTTAAGGGCCTGGGCCCAGAGGAACCTCAGAAGCCCATGGAGGCCAGGCAGAGATGGAATTGGATACTGGTTGAGAGCTTGGTTACCTAATACTTCTCTAGGCAGCAGTATCATTTCCATGGAAAGAAGCAACATGGTGGGTTGGGGGTACACCCTGAAGTCATGCAGGCACCCCATAACCGACCCATCCCTGGCAAAGCTGGAGGCTCATCCTGAGCCTGTTTTTCTACACCTTGCTGATCTGCCAATCAGGGGTGGTCATAAGAGTGGGCAGGCAGAGAGTCTCCAGTACAAGGGCACAGTGTGGCCAAAGAGATCCAGAGTCCAAAGAACCCCCAGGAATTCTAGTCAGAGGAGGTGGAATAGTCCTTAGCCTCTGTCTGAGGCTGTCAGGCATCAGAGTGGTCCTGAAGCAGAATTGTGTTAAGGGGGCAGGCTCTACCTTCAAGGACTTGCTCTTTAGAGCAGGGGGTTCTGGGCATGGAGGCCAGAGAAGGCCTCTGGAAGACTGAGACCCAAGGCAGCATTGGCCAACAGGGGAGTAGATGGTACCTATATTTCTCCTAGCTTAGCTTTGTGCCCATGTGTAACCAGCTTGGTATTGCCTCTCCCAGGGCCAGCTGAGACCTTCACCTGGTTCCTAATGAGGGCGTGGTCCCAGACACTAGCTAAGAGACTCACCCAACTTATAAAAGCAAACCACCATCCATGTTGCTTTCTGGCAGAAGCAAAGGACTAGGGTGGGAAATATTCCAGACAGGAGCCTGGCCCACTGTCTCTGAAGGTGTCCAGGGACAATCTCAGCAAGGAGTCTTAGGCCTCTGTAGAGAAGAATCAGATTTGAGGTTTGTAGAGTGATAGGCACCACGGTTCCAGGACAAACTGAGGTTCTATGGGCCCAGAATCTTTAAGAGCACAGAGCATCCTCTTCAAGAAACAGGTGAGCAGGCCGGACAGTGCTGATGCATTGCCTTTAATGCCGGCACTTGGGAGGCAGAGGTGGGCAGATCTCTGAGTTTGAGGCCAGCCTGGTCTGCAGAGCAAGTTTCAGGACAGCTACACCGAGAATCCTGTCTCAAAACACAAAAGAAACGTAACAGGTGAGCGGCTTGATGATAGCTCAAGGTTAGGTAAAGCACAAGGACCTGAGTTCAAGACCCACAGCCATTCATTTTAGTCAGGGTTACGATTACTGTGATGAAACACCATGGCTAAGGCTTTATTTGGCGTACACTCCTATATCACTGCTCATCATTGAAGGAAGTCAGGACAGGCACTCAACCAGGGCAGGAACCTGGAGGCAGGAGTCGATGCAGAGGCCATGGAGGGGTGCTGCTTACTGGCTGTATTGGTTTGATGTAAAATGGTCCCCAAAGGCACTATTAGGAGGTGTGGCCTTGTTAGAGGAGATGGGCTTTGAGGTCTCATATATGCTCAAGCCACTATCAGTGTGACACACAGTCTACTTCCTGTTGCCTGCATATCAGCATGTAGCAGCTCCTTCTCTAGCACCACGTCTGCCTGCACACTGCCATGCTCTCCCACACTGATGGTAATGGACTAGACTCCTGAAACTGTAAGCCACCCCAATTAAATGGTTTTTTTTCTTTTATAAGAGTGGTGTGGTCATGGTGTCTCATCACAGCAATAGAAACCCTAACCAAGACACTTACCTCCTCATGGCTTTCTCAGTCTACTTGTTTATGGAACCCGGGACCACCAGCCCAGGGATGGCCCCATTCACACTGGGCTGAGCCCTCCCGCATTGTTCACTAATTAAGAAAATGCCGTACAGGCTTACCTACAACCCAATCTTATGGAGGTATGTTTTAAACTGAGGTTCCCTCCTCTCAGGGGATTGTGTCACATTGATATAAAACTATCTAGTACAGGGCTGGAGAGATGGCTCAGAGGTTAAGAGCACTGGCTGCTCTTCCAGAGGTCCTGAGTTCAATTCCCAGCAACCACATGGTGGCTCACAACCATCTGTAATGAGATCTGGTGCCTTCTTCTGGCCTGGGCAGCACACTGTATACATAACAAATAATTATTTAAAAAGCAAAATAGAGTTCGAGACCAGCCTGGTCTACAAGAGCTAGTTCCAGGACAGTCTCCAAAGCCACAGAGAAACCCTGTCTCGAAAAACCAAAAAAAAAAAAAAAAAAAGCAAAAACAAAAAACTATCTAGCACACCATGTTTTGCTTTGTTTATAAAAACAAGAAAAAGCTAGCCCATTTAATGAGGTCATTTCATTAAACCAATAACATTTCTGACTGAATTCTAATTACTTAGCCTTATACCCAAATAAAAGTGTGGCTCTCACCCCTTACCAAAGCAACTTCTTTTCTGCAGTGGCTGATGAGCATCCCAGGAAACCACAACTGGTGAGAATGCAGAGAAGTGACCATGGTGCCCAGCCCCAGCTGATAGCTCTAAAACACAACCTCTACACCTAAGACATAGGGAACGTCACAAAAGAGGGCGTGGATAGGCTGGAAGAGTTAGAAGACCAGGACAGGCTATGGGTCGATGTCTGTTTCCAAATAGTGTCAGGACAGGCTATGGGTCGATGTCTGTTTCGAGATAGTGTCTTTTATATTGGACAGGGAAGCAACACCCAGAAAAAATCTCAACAATATCATTGCCTAAACAAGACCTAAAAAACACCACTACCCATTGGCATGCCAACATGGATGGGGGAATTCTCACAGGCTTCACCCCTAGAGAGAGAACTATAGGTAATTGATGGTTGCTGGAGGTAGGGCAAACCAGTCTTCTTCAGGACAAACTCCCTGACAAGGTAGCCAATCTGAGAGATTACCCATAAACACATGAGCAATATTATTGCACTTATAAACTGTGTGTGTAACAATTATAATGAAAGAATAAGCCGTGGCTTTGAGGAGTGGGATGGGCATGGGAGGAATTAGAGGAAGAAGAGGGAGGGAGAAAATAATGTAAATACAGCACTCATATGAAAAAAAGCCAGGCGTGGTCGAACACATCTGTAATCCTAGCACAAAGGAGCTGGAGACTGTCAGCACTCTGGAACCCACTGGCCATTCAGCCTAGCCTAGTTGGCAAGCTGCAGGCCAGTGCAAGAGACTGGAGTGCAATGAGGCAGGTGCTTGGGGTCCATGCTGGGGTAACAGTGCCCATTCAACCCCTCCAGCCATACTCTCTACAATGCCTTGGCTCTGAAGAGGGTTCCTGCACAAGGCTCTGGACCCCTACCCTGCAGTAACCCTCAACTGCTTGCCAAAATCATCGGGCACTCCAAGCCCTAGCTCCTCAGAGTTCCCAATCACACCTCCTTGGTTCCTATATAGCACAGTTTTGGGGGCCTGTTGACCTTGACTCAAAACCAAAGTTGGGCTTCATGGTAACCCGTGACAGGTAGGATCATGGATGACTTCTGAAAGTCTGTGAAAGTTGGTTAGTGGGCTGGAGAGATGGCTCAGAGGTTGAGAGCACTGGCTGCTTTTCCAGAAGACCCAGGTTCAATTCTTAACACCCAGCAGCTCACTACTCCTTGTAATTCCAGTTCCAGGGGACCAGATACCCTCTTCTGGCTACCTTGAGCACTGTATGCACAGCCAGAAATATATCATACGCATAAAAAAATAGCAAAACAAATTTAATAGCTGTGAATGTCAGTGTCACTGCTCATTATAAATGGGGCTTTTCGTTTGTTTAAATGTTTTATCTATTTTGCAACAATCTGACTGGCATGAAACTCCCTATGTAGACTATGATGACCTTGAACTTAGAGAGATCTGCCTGCCTCCCCAGAGCTGGAATTTAAGGTGTGCACGCCTACATCCAGCAAGATTTTTTTTTTGCAAGATTTAGTTTTACTAATGTGTATGAGTTTGTGTGCCTGTGTGTTGCACCTGCTGTGCGGCCTGCATCCGAGAATGTAGCGAGGATAGATGACACAGAGACCGGTTGGTTGCTTTAAGAAAAACTTTATGCTTCCCAAGTCAGCTTAGGAGGAGATTCCAAGTCGCTTAGGAGAGAGAAGTCTCTCCAGGAAAAAAGAGCTTCCCTTTTTAAGGACTTCTGTCATCCATCTACATACAATTCTTTCCAGACTTCTCACCCTCCTGGCTGGTGGTTTAATCTCCAGCCCCAGAATTGGGGGGGGGGGGACGGGGACACAGCAGGGAAACAGGAAGAGGCATCTAGCCCTAGGGGGTGTGAAAGTCATGGTATCTCAGTGAGCGAGCCCTTATCTGAGCCCTATCAAGAGCTTTATAGCACTGAATTGTTTTCAGTAAACATTACACAGCTGCCTGCTCCCAGGCCGAAGGGGAAGTGGGTTTCTGCTCAAGGTCTGGCGTCCCCACACCTGTGTGAATGTACGCTGGTGCCTATGGAGGCCAGAAGAGTGTGAGAGTCCCGGCATGGGTGCTGGAAACTGAGCTCGGGTTCTCTGGAAGAGCAGGACGCATTCTTACCAGCTGAATCATTTCTCCAACTCCTAAAATGAGGTTTAATCCTGAGTGCCCTCGTGCTTAGTAGCAGTGACTCCCCACACCCTTATACCTGCTCATCCCCAGGTACAAGCACCTCCTTTTATGCTCCCTCCTAACCCTCACACAAGCGAGGGACAACCTGGAAGGGAAAAGAT